GAAACTATTTCTATTGATTATGTGAAGTCATAACGGAATCTAGCAGATTCTCTAACAAAATAATTAGGAAGAAATATGATATTAAAAACATCAAAGGGAATGATACTTAAGCCACTTACAAACAAACAAGTGATTGTAACCCAACCTTTGTGATTGAAGATCCCATGAATACAGTTCATATTGATAAAAATAAGTCACTTGTTAGTCTTGATAGCACTAAATTGATTTTAAATTAAATATATTCATTCCTATGATTTCTGTGCGAAAGTGTTCGAGACTGTATTTTTAAAAGGTTAAACTTTGTAATTAAAATTCTATGTGATGAAAGAATTTTAGTTTAAACAAATGTTTTAATAATCTTTATATCCCTTTATGGATGATGTATGATTTGCATCATACATTTGATGGAATAAGTTATATGAATGTTAGTGGGACCACTTACATGAGATCTTGGTTTAGAATCTCTAGAACAATAGAAATATTGGGTATGTGCATGGTCTAATAAGCTTAACACAACGATAACAGCAATGGTTATGGTGTGTATTATGATTCATAAACCTCTAACACACATCAAGTGTCTTTGATTCATAATAACTTATTATACCAACTATAATATGTGTTAAACTTCTCGATTTAGAACTGGTTTATATAACTTGTTATATCAACTCTTATGTATTACATCTTATAAGACCCAGGAAAATTCTTCTTTTCTTTCAATTTTTATTTTGCAATATATCGGGATATAAAATAAGTATTGCAAAAATAAGTTTCTGAAAGCAACAAGTGAACGTTGCGCAATGAACAGTTCTTTCCCGTGGTCAAGCTCTTCATCTGTATGGCTCGGAATTTTCCCCTAACATCTTAGTTTGTTGACGCAGTTCTCACCAGCCACAAGACTCAGGATTCTCCCACACGTTTTCAGTTGCGGCAGTCACATGTACTCTCCAAACTCTATAAATAGAGTTTGTGCTTTCTCCATTTGGAACAAGGAAAAAAATCCCTGACGAGATCTCTCGCACTGAGCATACTTTCATATTTTCTTTTATTCTCTCTCACTCTCTTATCTATTATATCTTCCTTTATAATATATGGATGTCTTAATTAATTGTTAGTTTTGTTATCTTCAAATTTAGCCGTAGATATACACGTCTAAGAAAATATTTATTAGTGGATTTTATTTTATTATTGTCAGCATTTTTACAACTTAGACTCTCTAGAAGAATCTTTCTCCCGCTTAAGGGACCGACAGAGCGATCAGAAATTAGCTAAGAGTTCCCATGCTTGGATATTATTGAACAAATAAGAAAGGAAGAAAATACATGAATGTGTGAAGTACTACATGCAACAAGCCTTGGGCTTATTATCACGATATCATATGGCAATGAACGTATATATAGTAAAATAATTGAATCCAAAATCTTTGTCGATGGTATTAAATTCTACCAACTAGTAGATATCATTGCCAATTATGCAACACGCTCACACTCTAACACTCTTGAAAATTATTGATCCAAATTTGATGAAATCCACCAAATTATGTCTACTCTCTTTTTATGTGATGATGGACTTCACTAAATTTCATCAATTTTATTAAACCTTCTACTTTTTTTTTTTCAAATTTCCTGAATCTCAAAACTTACTGTTCTATAAATAGGAACATTGTAAGGGAAGCTGCATAGGAAATTAGTTACTGTTTTCAAAAATTATATTCAACGTATACCTTGAGTAACACACTAGTAAAGGAAAGTGTTCAATAGTTGATATGCTTCTAATGAATGTAAAGATGGGTAGGCAGGGAGGAACTGGTACCCTTTTTTCGCTCCTTGTTTATTCTGATGTTGGATGTTATTGACTTTGTTTTGGCACCTGTCGTGCAAAAACTAATATTCTTAATAAAAGCTTTATCCTTACCCTTTCAAAAAAACAAAAAATTCGGAACATTGTAAATGGTCAAGAGAACTGAATGCATGAATGAGAAATATTGAAGCAGAATAACATATATTCTGTTATGTACGAACAGCTTACAATAATTGAAAAATTGAAGCAGAACTTAAAAATGACAACATCAATCGTGGAAAGGGACCATACAAAAAGCCAAACTTTGAAGCTGGCCAATTTGTGCTATTACCAAATATCAAATTTAATCATAAGAAGATCTATTACTTTATATCCAAGAGATTCAAGCCATAACCTGAGTAATAAACTTTGCCTGTCAGCAAAGTTCGACTCCCCAAAAAGAAATCTGTAACCATGCCATGATATCCATAGAGCAGAAATGAATACACAATACTATTAACAAGGAATAAACAGTTTATATACCAATTTCACTTCTGGCCATAACCTGAGGAAATTAAAGGTGGGGAAACAATGACAATTTTCAAATGGTTGAAGGTTCTCCTATACAAGATTACACCACAAAGCATGAAAGAGGCAACATGAAGAGCAGAATGAATGGATTGGGGTTACGGTGTAATGCTACCAGTTGTCCTTAACAATTTTTGACTTTTCAAGTATAAACTTTCCTTCCTTGTACCTCTGGGACGCTTCATAAGCTCTTTCATACTTCCAACCCAACACTTCACGGCAATCACCACAATAAACATCAGCAACAGTGTGGAGGCCAGTCAATAGATGCCTGTCTTCTTTTGGCCCCGTCACAACATTCATTGCATGGGAAAACAGAAAGGCTCGGCCATTTCTTCCCTGATTATAAAATTTAGGACGACAATTTAAGAAAAATGACCCCGGAAAGCTTTTGTACCAGATAAAATCATAAACCTTAAATTTATGTCTAAATACCGAGAACAACCAAATGAGAACATACAAAGATGCCTTTGGGAATATCTTCATCTAGGAAATATGTCAAATAATGAATGAACAAAACACAACATATTGGCAATCTTTGTGATGTTTGACTGTTATGTCAATAACAAACTCAGAGACAAAGATATGAAAGGTCGAAAATCTAAATCACCTACTTTCCACATCTTTAACACTGCCATTGTCTCCCCGCGGCCACATTTGAAATTATGTTTTCAAATTTCAACCAAAGTCATACTCAACCAAAACCCATTTATTGAAAATCACAGCAACAGCCACATCAAACTGACATCTATAACTACTGTCACTTGGTGTATGTACAGCTAATTGATTGTAAACACCATGTATTCTCAGTATTTATAAGGCCTGAATTCATTGTAGTCCTAATAGTATTAAAAAATATACATATTTGGCTATATAAGTGAGTCTAGTGAGACTGGTCTCAATGTTGATTGAACGACAGTTTTGTACTTAACCTCAATTACAAAACAAGAGGTCAAATTTCTTTCCTTTCTTGAAATCACCCCGGAATTTCCCCACTTTACCTTTGTAATAGTAATGACACCTAGAAACAATAATACTCAGCAAAGCCCTTACCCTTTTGAAGTAAATAGGTAGATGATGATTTCAATTGGCAACAAACCGATACATCTAAGAAGTCAACTGTAAAAAATAAATATAATTTTCACTTAAAATGTAAAAGAAAGTACCCCATACACATTTTTGGTCCCAAAATCACCCAGAAAAGTAAAACAGAGAGAGAGAGAGAGAGAGAGAGAGAGAGAGAGAGAGAGAAGGTTTACATGAAAAGCCTTGGAAATGATATCATCGTGGAGTGAGACCTGGTTTCTACAATTAGAGCAGCAATACAAGCGGGGTCCTATCAGTTCCGCCATGAATTGGTCAAAAAAAAAATCAGATTAAAGACCTCAGTGCTCCAAATGAACCAAACACCGGTGATCCAAGGGAGTAACAGAGCAAAGGTTTCGATTATAAATGAATGAGATGAAGAAAAGGGCGCAGAGGAACAAAAGTGATGAAATTTCTTTACCTACACCAAGCTCAATGATGACCCAAAAGTCTGCAACAATAAGATAAGAAGAAAATATGTCGTTAGTTAGCGTACAAGAGTAGGCTTGATCACAAAGGTTAATGAAGATTCCCAATTAGCCTCTTCAAAATAAAATAAAATAAATTGCATTACATATGGTAATCAGATAAAGACCCAATAAACCCCACCACTTGCACAGGATATAGTCTTAATCATCAATATTAACATTAATTAATAATAAACAAACCACTAGTTAAAAAATCAAATCAAATTACTGGAACAAATTCCTTTTACAAGATAAAATAAAACCCCAATTTTCATGTTTTTTTATAGAGTTATCATTTTTTTTAATTAGTTGGAAAGAGTTATCTTTTTATTTTCTTTGTTAGGGTTACGTTTTGAAGTTTTGTTCTGGCTTTGATCGGTGCCGATCACGAAAAATCCACAACCGCACTTAAATTTCGGTAATTTTCCCTAACTTCAACTAAGTTTTTCAAGTGCTCTGTTTTAAACTACTCTTTAAAACTTGGTGAACTGAGGCTGTTTTTACAAGTTTCAAAACCTTATTTTTCTTTGTTAAGGTTTATTTCTCTCCGCAGGAGGTGGGGAATATAAATAGTGAAGTTGGTTGTATTAAATGAGATATTTTTCATTTTTAATATTATTTTTTAAAATTATTATTATTACAGCAATAAAAAATAAAAATAGCTATAATTGATTATGAGTAGAAAAGCAAATGAAATTATCTAGCACTTTGTTCACATATACAAATCTTCACTCATTGGTGTATAAAATAATAATTGTGTCTCTTAATTTTCGAATAGATCTTTTCAAGTTCCTTAAATTTTCGAATAGATCTTTTCAAGTTCCTTAAATTTTCGAATAGATCTTTTCAAGTTCCTTAAAACAAATAAAATGCGTTTATAGATTGATGCCTAATGACTAGGTCACTACGAACCATTTATTATATAGATTAATTAAATGTTACACATCTTGTAGTACTTATGATTTAATATATTTATTGTCTAGCCAATTAAATGACGCATATATTTTAGTTTAAATAAGAGAGATTAAAAAAAATTGTATAATACATACCTAATTAACAGTGAAAATTGAAAATAATTCATTTTCAAAATTTTAGTTTAATTTAGTCTTTCAACATTAAAAATTTATTAATTTAGTTTTTTTAA